ACACTCTGTCTCCTGGCAACTGATGGCCTGGGCCCTTCCCCCCTGCATGGGGATGCTAAAGGTGAACAAAGATCAGGTGACCTCCTGTCCCGGGAAAGGAACAAAGCCCAGAGGAGGAGGGGCTGGAGGGGGTTTCAGTTCGGGGCTGGCTGGGGACGGGAAGTGAGGACGGACGGGGGTGTCTGGCTCGCTGGGCCCCAGAATGGACCTGGCTGAGGGGTCCCGTTCGCTTGACCTACAAGCTCTGTTTTAGACCGTGTTCCTGTCGTCTAATAAACCTTCTGTTTTACTGGCTGGCCGAGAGTCACGTCTGACTTGCGAAGTGGGGGTGCAGGACCCTCTGGCTTCCCCAGGACCCCGCCGGGGCGGACTCGCTGTGGGAAGCGCATGGAGGGGCACATGCTGAATGCTCCAAGGTCAGACCCAGGGGGTGAAGCCGTGTGAGCTCCTTGCCCTGAAGACGGTTTGCTCCGAGGGAGAGGAGGCTCCCCAGAGTCCTGCCTGGCTTTGTGGGGAGCAGTTCCAGAGCATTGCCCGGGGACTCCGGGACATCCAGTTTCACCTTCAGCGACTGGTGAGTGTGACCCCAACAGCGCCCGGCTCCCCCCCGCCGCTGCAGACAGCGGGGGGGGGGGGGGTCTGGGGGGCCCTGGTGCCAAGGTCCCCACAGTGCCAGCGCGCGCCCCCCCCCCCCGGCCCCCCCAAACCGGAGAAGGGGGGGTAAAAAAGGGGGGGGGGTTCCCCCCCCCCCCCCCGTGATTCAGGGGTCTTCCCAGCATGCACCAGGGCCCCTGGGGGGCCTCATCTCCGCAGCTGGTCGTACACACCCCACTGTGCAGCCTGCAGCTCTAGGGAAACAGGGAGGGGTCAGAGACACCCTGCGAATCCAGGGACACCCCCGCCCTGGGGGGCCCAGAGCCCCCTCACCGGCCCCCGACAGCCCCTCACCAGCCAGGCTCATCCCCGGGGGAGACGCCCAAAGCCCCGTCGCTGGGGCGGGGATGGCGGGGGGCAGAGACACGGCCTGGGATCAGCGCGGCTCCCGGATGTGGGGGACACTTACCATAGACGGTTTCAGAGTAGCAGCCGTGTTAGTCTGTATCCGCAAAAAGAAAAGGAGTAATTGTGGCACCTTAGAGACTAACAAATTTATTAGAGCATAAGCTTTCGTGGGCTACAGCCCACTTCTTCGGATGCATATCCATAGACGCGCAGACCCACTGTGCCGAGGACAGGGTTAGCAGCAGTAGGGATCTGTATCTGCACCGTGTAGTTCCCGGTGTCGTTGACCATTAACCCCGCGATGTTCAGGGCGCAGCCCGGCCCCACTGTCTCCCGCCCCGTGTGGGCCGAGCCGTTGTTCTGAGCCGGGGCTGGATATTGGACATAGTTGAGGATCCGGCTGTTTGGATCAGCGGTCGCTGATTGGTACCAGATGCAGGACAGGAAGTTCTCTGGCGGTGGCTGCGGGGCCAGGCTGACGCCCCCTCCCACCACGGGGCTCGGCGGGGTGAGGACGATGGTCACTGGGGTCTGGGCCGGGGCCGGGTGGAGGCAGGAGCCCAGGACGGAGGCTGCGAGGGGGAGACCAGAGAGACTGATACTACCTGGTGCCCCTCACTCCCGACCTGCAGCCCCTCTGCTTTCCTTTGCACTGTCCCCTATTACAGCCCTGTGTGTCCGGGACACCTGGGTCCCCCCTGCCCCCGCTCCACCCTCTCAGCTGCAAGGGACCCCTCGCCAGGTGCCGCCCGGCGCCTTTTCCTGCAGCGGGACCTGCCTCGTCCGCCCACTTCCCCTTCGCTTTGGAGGAAGGAACCTGTGTGGGAGGGGGAGGGGAAGGGTCTTCTCCCCCCCCCCCCCCGTGGGGTGCCAGGTCCCTGGGTCTCTGCGTGGGGCTGGTTCCGCCTGCTAGATCTGGGGGGAGGGAGTTCAGTGGGGGGGGTGTCTGGGTGTCCCCCCCCCCAGTGCTCTGGAACAGAGACACAAACAAACAGCTGATCTCCCCATGCAAAGCAGAAGCTGGGGGGAACAATGGGGATTCTATGGGGTCCCCGGGGCTTTGGGGCGCAGCCTCGGGGGAGCCTG